CCAGTCCAGAGGTCGACGCTCTTTTCAGTCCAGAGGTCGAAGCTCTTTTCAGTCCAGAGGTCGATGCTCTTTTCAGTCCAGAGGTCGATGCTCTTTCCAGTCCAGAGGTCGACGCTCTTTCCAGTCCAGAGGTCGACGCTCTTTCCAGTCCAGAGGTCGACGCTCTTTCCTGTCCAGAGGTCGACACTCCTTCGTGTCCAGAGGTCGACGCTCCTTCGTGTCCAGAGGTCGACGCTCCTTCGTGTCCAGAGGTCGACGTTCCTTCGTGTCCAGAGGTCGACGCTCCTTCGTGTCCAGAGGTCGACGCTCCTTCGTGTCCAGAGGTCAACGCTCCTTCGTGTCTAGAGGTCGACGCTCCCTCGTGTCCAGAGGTCGACGCTCCCTCGTGTCCAGAGGTCGGTGTCCCCTCCAGTCCAGAGGTCGACGTCCCCTCCAGTCCAGAGGTCGACATCCCCTCCAGTCCAGAGGTCGACGTCCCCTCCAGTCCAACGTCTCCGCCGTCTCCAGTCCAGTGGTCGACGCCGTCTCCAGTCCCGTGGTTGACGCCGCCGTCTCCAGTCCCGTGGTCGACGCCGCCGCCTCCAACCCAGAGGTCGACGCCGCTGCCTCCAGCCCAGGGGCCGACGCCGACGCCTCCAGCGCAGAGGCCGACGACGACGCCCCCAGCCCTGAGGTCGTCGCCGCCGCCCCCAGCCCTGAGGTCGTCGCTGCCGCCTCCAGGCCAGAAGTCAAAGACGTGTCCTCCGGCGTCTCTGCCTCCAGTCACCGCCAGTCCTGCCCTCACCAGGCGCGGGCCCCCAAGAGCCCGTTGTTGCCTCCTCCTCTGCCACAGACGCAGGCCCCCAAGAGCCCGTCGTCGCCTCCTCCTCTGCCACAGACGCAGGCCTCCAAGAGCCCGTCGTCGCCTCCTCTGCCACAGACGCAGGCCCCCAGTGCCCGTTGTCGCCGCCTCCTCTGCCACAGGCGCAGGTCCCCAAGAGCCCGTCGTTGCCGCCTCCTCTGCCCCAGGCGCAGGCCCCCAAGAGCCTGTCGTCGCCTCCTCTGCCCCAGGCGCAGGCCCCCGGACTCTACTGGTCCCTGCCTCCTCTCCATCGGTCCCTCTCGGCCCTCCCTCCGGGTCCCCCTCCTCCCGCCCTGCTCTATGTTCCTGTGGGTGTCTGGAATCCGCCCTTTTTGGGGGGGTGGGGGGTGGGGGGGTACTGTCACACCCTGTCCTGTCTCCCCATTCTGTTCAGTCCTGTGTCCATGTTAACTGCTCCCACCTGCCTCTCGTCTCCCAATCACCCAAGGTCCCAGCTCCTCCTGTATTTAAACCCTGTTAGTCCATTTTGTCTGGTTGGTTCATTGTTTCATTGTCCTGCGTGTCTCATTAAAACCCTTTAAATGTTCCTGTCTGCCTGCCTGCCTCCTTCCTCACCCGCGTGTGGATCCTCACCTCCATTTCACTCACCGGCACGCTTGTGACATTTTGCCTTTAGTGAACTTTGGTTTGACGTCAGTATTTGCATTCCAGGAACGTTTGATTTCCAAATTAAGCACTGCACGTCACACATAAATTTCACAGTAATATTGAGTATTTGGTTATTGAAAAAGTTGCTTGAGATATTTTCAGAGCCGTCCATTTTTTTCTAATTCACCGTTAGCTTTGTTAGCTTAACGTTAGCCACTAGAGATTCTAGAGCAGGGCTATTCAATTCTGGGCCTCAAGGGTGAATATCCAGCATGTTTTAGTGGTTTCACTAGTCCAACACACACTAGATTAAGTGGTGTGTAGCAGTAGCCTAGCGAACTAGACCAAATTCTTGCTTTACATTTATTTATTCTGGCTTGCCAGGCTAGTGTAGCAGCTCATCAGGCTCTGCAGAAGCCTGTTAGTCACCTGCTGATTGAAATCAGGTGTGTTGAAGCAGAGTTAAAACCAAAACGTGGTGTATTAGAGTAAAACAAAAGAATGCCGTGGCTTCTTAGGGGTACAAGAAAAAACTTCTGGGTCACCCAGGTTTACTGGCTTTTCTTCTTTAAACAGTTCTGAAGCACATTGCCGGACTGTGTCAAATTACAAATGCCGGCGTTGCAGAGTTAAATCAGTGGAGACTTGGCAACCTCACAAACTCACTGACTGTAAACAGTAACTACATCCCGCTTTCTTTCTTTTTTTGAAAAGAGAAAAACTGACAACCCCTCAGCCAGCTGAGAACAAAATCTGTTTCTGTATAACCTTCCTTTGAACATGATTGAGACATTAGACTCTTTTGTGATTTCACTGTGGAATTCTTACGTTTGGCTATGGGAAATAGTCAAGAAATCTTTATTTTCTTTATGATCTCTTCCAAGTGACTATTTGATCAAATTTGTAATAAAGATTATATTTTTCTTTTCCAGCTGGTATAAATGATGTTTGAAGGCCATCTATGATGTTCTGCTGATCTCAAACCTTTGATGATTAAAACCTTCATCAAACAGTTTGAAATGCCCAAAATCACCCAGAGAAAACCAAAATGATGACATTTCAGAGTGAAGTTATTTAAAGCTCTGCTTGGAACTAGCTGTTCTGTTCAACACTGCTCTCCCAAAGCTCCAAATGGAGACTTTGCCACCCATCCAGTGTCATCCCACAGTCTCTCTGCAAGTTTCTCACAAAATAAGCCGGTGACAGCTTTGATGCTTGATGCATTTATACTTGTGTCCTTTACCAGGCTCGGTTTGCTGGGATTCAGCTGTGTCTACTTAATGCAATTTAAAATGAGTAATTTGCTTTAATTTAAAATAAATTATGTTTTTAAACACAGATTTAGTTATTTTTTCCCCAAAACCCGCTATGGTAGTGTCTTCTGCATGTTATCAGGAGTGTAACAAGCTGTCTTCACCACAGGACACCATTAAATCTAGCGTATGTAGTCCTAATTTCATTGCTGTTTGGTGAGACAGGTTCTAGTGAAGCTTTTCCTTTTGGTATCCTGCACCGGTCCCTGTCTTGTCCTTCAACAAGGGATTTGAGAACCATTTGAATTTCCAGCTGGCCCCCCAGTCTCCATACCTCTCATAAATGAGAGACCATTAGTCAGGAGACGAAAACGAAGGCTGAGCCTCATGATTAGAACTGAGACCGGGTCTTTGTGCTCCTCTTTTGTGTGAAAATGTCTAGACATGCTTTGTGATTGAGTGAAAAACAATATATTTATTTTCAACAAGTTTTCTTTTGAGGAAAAAAAAATAGTCTGCAAAATGCCTCAAAGATTGTGATAATAGGTAAAAATATAAAGCTCTAGTTTATGACAACAAAATAACCTCAAACAAAATAACCTTTAATTAGCAGTAACAGCAACAATCTTTATTTTTATCATCAAAAACACATATATATATATTTTCAAACATAATTTTTGGACTTGGGTAAAATGAATTCTGTCCAAAGATTTGACTTGTGTGCAAAATTAGGAAATAATACTTCGGGAAGACTAAATTGTGTAATATTTATGTTTAAAAGCCAATTTTCAAGTTATAAACTAGATTAAAGGTGCAATATGTAAAAAAAACACAGTAAAATAATCATAAACACTATTGTCTAACTCATTTTGGAAGGAAGGTTACACAAACAGATTTCCTTCTCAGTCAGTTGGGGAATTGTCAGTTTTTCTCCTATTGAAAAAGCAAAAAGGGACGTAGTTTTTGTTTACAATCTGTGAGCCTATGGAGTTGCAGAGTCTACCCCGGCAAACGCTGCAGCGCAGGCATTCATAGTTTAATACCAGCAGCAGCGTTTTGTAAAGATCCTAAGCCAGTAAAAAGAAGCAGCCCAGAAGTTATTTCTTGTACCCCTAAAGCCGGGCGTACACTGTGCGACTTTTTCACTTTTTTGAGCCGATTTTCCAGTCGTGCGAGAAGCCACGACATCGGGGCGAGTTTTGCGCCGAGCGGTCGTGTAGTGTACAGGGGGTTACGAGAGGCGATTAACACCACGTGACCAGCCGCCGATCAGCAGTCGTGAGGTCACAGGGACTTCTGGTGTGTTTAATATTTCGCTCGTCCCTCGTGAGGGTATCGCACTGTTGAAGCGGCGCTGCGAGCAGCTGCGAGCAGCTACGATCCAAAAAGTATCAGAACCGCTCACGGCGCATGCGCGCGCAATCCTGCATCAACGCCGGCCGGTCGCTCGCTATTTCCCTAATAACTCACGCTGTTCGTTTTTGTTTCTACACGTTTTTTTTACTCACAAAGATTGTCAAGAAAGCGTGTTTGTCATGTTCATGTCAAATTAAACTGATCACAAAACACAGATTCACTTTCTTTATTTCGTTTTCCTCATCCAACCCCCATAAATCCCTGTGTGTCCTCCTGCAGCACTCCCGAAGGACAACAGGCAAGACAAAAAAGTCTGACGTGTTGAGTAAAAACTGCTATTCTTAGCACATTTTTAGGGCCGACGTGTTGCTACCAGACGTACAGTGTGAGCAGTCAGGTCGCATGCGAGAACTGGGTCGTACAGTTTGAGCACACGACTCGTGAGATCTGCCCTGCGAGGAAGTCGTACAGTTTGAGCTGAAGCTGAACGCTGCGAGTGAAAAAGTCGCACAGTGTACGCCCGGCTTTAGAAGCCACAGCATCCTTTTGTTTTATTCTAATATTGGTTGAAGAAGGCTAGAAGCTAAAGTTAAGCTAATGTTGAGCTAACAAGTTAACGCGACTTTGAAGCAAACAGTCTGCTCTAAAAATAAGCTCAAAGTACTTTTATAATTACTAGCAATTTGAAATTATCTACTGTGTATGACTCGTCGTCTAGAATCTTCTGGTGCTTCTCCATAACTGGCAACATTCATTGAACTCGCACAACGGTAGTGAGATTCATGTGTTTCACATAACACACCTTTAAATATTAAATCTATTCAAATTTAATGGAGTATTAGTAGTAGTATCCTAAAAGTTTGTCTTTTGACCTGAAGGTGCATTAATGTTGTGGTGATTGTTGATGTAGTTACTGACGAGTCTTTTCTGTTGTCCATCAGGTCTTAAGGGGGGAAATGGACCTGCTCCAGATGGACAGGGCCCTACCTTCACCTACACCTTCCACGGAGATCCTCATGCCACCTTTGCCACCTTCTTCGGGGGCTCCAACCCCTTCGAGATGTTCTTCGGGCGTAAAGCGAATGGCAGAGACGACGATGACATGGAGGTGGATGGAAATGACCCCTTTGGCTCCTTTAGTAATTTCAACATGAACGGCTTTCCACGAGAAGGCCACACCGGCCTCGGGGGTCAGCAGCGCCGGAAGCAGGACCCGCCCATCATCCATGATCTGAGGGTCACCCTGGAGGAGGTCTTCCAGGGCTGCACTAAGAAGTTGAAAATCTCTCGCAAAAGGCTGAACCCCGACGGCAGGACCATGCGAACGGAGGATAAGATCCTCACTATTGAGATCAAACGAGGCTGGAAGGAGGGAACCAAGATCACGTTCCCGCGGGAGGGGGACGAGTCGCCCAACGCCATTCCTGCTGACATCGTTTTTGTCATTAAGGACAAACCCCACCCCCACTTTAGGAGAGAAGGCTCTAACATCGTGTATCCTGTTCGTGTTAGTTTGAGACAGGTGAGAGAGCTCCTATTTTAGCCTTTTAACTGATTGTTGTTCTATTAATAGAAGATGACGGAATGATTAGTCAGTTTTAGAACAAGTTCACAACCAGATGAGGGTGCTGCTTTCAGATCTGGTGCTCCAACGCAGTGAAACCTGGTCACGATCAATAAGCTGTTGGTGGTCTGCCCGAAAAGCACAGAAAACACACAGTGATGCTGAATGAGCATCGTTCTGAACTACACACACATTTCAGCTGTTCCCTTATGTAATCTGGACCATCAGAAACAGGATCGCCCACATGCACACGTTGTAAGAAGTGCTTATGTGGTCCCTCCCACCCTCATCAGCTCTCTGTTCTAAATCCCACCGTCTCATTTCCTAATATTAGACCTTTTATGTTCCAGCAGTAGCAGATCAGCTGTGCAGGTGCATGATTCACTCAGCCTATTTTTGTCGTTTTAGTTCTAAATATACATTTACAGTTCTCTTTAAATGAGGAGTATGGGGTTAAAACTGAAATAATGAAATAATTTGACATATTCTGATCATTTCTGCAGCAAAAAGGTAAATGAAATAATTTCCTTAGAGTGATAATGTGTAGTTTTTGCCATTAATCTCTGGAAATATCCATCGAAATGTTGTTGAAAATGAATTAAAATGATGCCCAGTTGTTGGCAGCTATACCAAAAAAATCTGGTCTAAAATACATGGGAGCGGGTCTAAGTCTCTGGGCGACGCCATATTAGACGCCATGTTTCCTTCTACGGCGCCCGTGAGAACAAAACTCATTTATTGATTTGTAACATAACATTTACGAAACTTTGGCCATTCATAAAAGTTGTTGTTTTACACATTTACCTCTTCCCTCGTTGCCAGTGATGAAAGGGAGTGATGTGATGTCATTTTGCTGAAGGTTGCGCTCCCAGGGATTTTTGACCCTAATGGGTATCCATTGGTAAGGTCTTTACACAAAAATACCTCTCCTTGCAATGATTTAGGTATGCACTGCCCCCTATCGCCAGGGAAAATTCACACTGTCACTGTTAAAGCCCAAATCCAACATCTTTGAACTTGTATATTTTCGTAATATCAACATTTGGGCATTTATGTCTATAAATTCTGTTTAGAAGGTGGATTTGAATGAATCACTTGCCAGTGACAAGTTTTCTACAAATCAGAGCGTCTGCTAATCAAACAACAACAAAAATCATCACTTCTGAGATGCCAGATCTGAAATCGGTACAGTTTTTGTTCCAGCTTGGTGTAAATCTTTATCGTTTTTTACAATTGCAGCTAATTTGAAGGATTTTTGTAAGGAAGTAAAAGCTTCACAAATAAATAAATAAACAAACAAATAAATAAACAAACAAACAAATAAACAAATAAATAAAATGTTGCTGCGAGAAGTCTTCTGTAGAAGTCAAACTAAATCACGCAAGAATACTTCTTGCTTTTTTCGTCTTCTTGTTAACCTGAGTGTTCATTTTGGATTCACAGCTTTGGAAGTGTCACTCACTGAACTAAAACAGGTTTTGCATGTGGAATCAAAAGGAAATATGAAAGGAAAGATGCTGATTTAGATGTTGTGGGTCTCAGTCTCCCGCTAGTTCTCACTAACACCTTCATTCTCATCTCTGCAGTCTTTGTGCGGATGCTCGGTCACCGTGTCGTCGATAGACGGGAAGACCTCCAACATGAAAATCACAGATGTCATCAAGCCTGGCATGAGGAGAATTGTAGCTGGACAAGGTCTCCCCCTCCCCAAGAACCCAGAGCAGAGAGGAGACCTGGTGGTGGAGTTTGACGTGAACTTTCCTGAAACGTTGCCTGGCAACGCTAAGGATGTGCTGAAACGGCACTTGCCTACATAGGACAAAAGGACAAGGACCGACCTAGAGGGGAGCACGGCGTGACGACCCCCCCCCCCCCCCCCCCCATCCATTAGGAACACTTTAACTCAAGGATGGTTCTGACATTTCCCAACTGATGAATGTGCAATTTCTATTTTTGAGCTGTTTGTATTTGCATGCTGCCAAACTGGTAATAGGTGCAAGTGAAAGACTGCTTGTGCTTGGACTGCTATGTGAAACTGACTTTTCCAGTCAAAGTTTTCTTTTGGTTAAATGCAATCTTTTTGGCTGTGAAAGGATTTGCCAAATAAATTTTCAGCGACAAACTGTTGATCTCTGAAGCAACGGTTTCTAAACTGTCATTTATGACTATTTTAGTTAGTTTTGAATCAGAGGCTCTCTTACTGTTTGTGGGCAGAGGAACTAAGGAAAGTTAAAGTGTATTTTGGACAATTACCCGTTGACACTTGAATTTTAAAATGCATGTTTTCCTATGAAGTCATCTGAAAAATAACTCAGACATTCAAAGAATCCTTCGTCATGAAGTAAACCAGTGTATAAAACACGATTGTTTAAGGAGAATGCTCATTTGCTTAGAAATATTTGTAGTCTGTGTAGCAACACTGCAAAAAAAAAAAAAGGTTCTTTATAGCCCAGGAAACTGAATCTATATTTTAAAAGTCTGATGTGAATATTTAGTTGTTGTAAATTACAGTATATAGTTACATTTTTGATGTATAGAAATTAATAATAATAAAACAAAATACTGTAAGTGAGTTTGATTTTAAGTCACTGGTTGTGAAGATATGAGTGGAAATGTATACAAGCACCTTTCCCACCAGGGGGCGCTACTTTACCCAATCATAAATGTAATATAGGCATGTGTGTGTATTATCTATCTACATACATACATATATGTGTATATGTTTATGTATGTATGTATGTGTGTATATATATATATATATATATATATATATATATATATATATATATATATATATATATATATATGTGTGTGTATGTATGTATGTATTATCCTTGTGTGATGAAGGTGTGTGTAACTGCTGAGTCACAACCATGCAGTGCAGGTGGAGTGTAAACACACCTGCTCAGTGAGGGAGGTTTTCAGCTGGTAATCCTCTAACAGTTACTGCCACCAACCAAACAGATTTAAAATGACAAAATAATATTCAGAAACCCAATAGTCATTTTTATCCACATATTCCTGTGTTGCAGGGGTTAATTTATATTTTAAAACATCTGTATTCTAATCCCATAATCAGTAATTGTCTGACCCTAAAATAACCTGCATGATCCGCATTACAATGGTTAATTTATACATTTGATTTAACCAGTTTACATGTCCACATGGCTAAAAAATAAAACACACCACATTTTGGAGGAATTATAAATTTAGATGTAGACAGTTAACATGTAAATAATAACAATATTAACACTAACAATTCAGACTATTATCCTCATCACCCCAATAAACTATCAATATTTGATTAATAGTTTCTAAAGATGCAGAAGCTTCAGCAACACAAGATGCAGAAGCTTCAGCAACACATTTTTATACTGACCAGTAAACAGAACAATGCACTGGTGTCTTCACCATAACATTGTTAAAATATGATCAACAGATTCTCTTGGTTTCATTTTTAAATATCTTTACTTTTATAAGCACCCAGCTATTTGTGATCTGGTTTAAAGCCTATATAAGTTTCCAGTTTATTTACTAGGGCAATATTTTCCTCAGAAACTAACAAGAAATAGGATAAATAAGATTTAATGTGTTTTATGTTATAGAAATAATTGTTAGATTTATTAATAGTTGCAATTTGTCTGTTATCTGAATATATTTAATAAATCCCACAGGATTTTTACAACTTTACCCTGTAGATGGTATAAACAATAGGCCCTTGTAATGCTTTGAACAACCTTAGTTTAGTGAAGCAGAGATTAGTTCCGAAAAGAATGACATGCTAACGGCTAGGCTGAGTGTGGCCATTTACAACATGTTTTTACTATAGTAAAACAACTTTTGGTTATTTTTATTATTCTTTTTGTCAAAACGTTAATGCAAAAGCTATTTCATTACCTTTATACCATCTTAAATTTGACATTACAATGTAATTTACATGTAAGTCTGTGTTTATTTTGTGGAGAAAATTCCAGACAATTGCTTTCTAATAGGAAATACCAAGAAATTCTGAAAGAGAAAGCATAAAATGCTAAATTTATGGTAGCAAAGAGGTTATAAATTTGCCTTTGGATATATTGCTATGAACTTTTAGGTGAATATTGATTGAAAAGATGTGAATAATATTTTTTCTTTTTAAAAGCTTGAGTAACAATGCATATGTGGAAGCCCATTTCCCAACACTCGTTGGGACGTACCTGTCTCATAATAATAATTGAGAGATACTGTCTCATTAAACTATGATATTGTTATCGCATAGTTATAATAATTATGAGATAGCTGAATCATAATGAGATAGCTAAGTCATAATAATGAGATAGCCACATCATAATTATGAGATAGCTGAATCATAATAAGGAGATACCATCGCTACATCATAATTATGAGCGATAGCTATCTCATATGAGAAATCTCATAACAATGAGATAGCTACATCATAATGATCAAAATCATCATCATGAGAGATTTAGCTACCATTACTATGAGATGGTTAAGTCATAGCAATGAGGTAGCTTACTATAATAAGATAGCTAAATCATAATATTGAGATACTATCTCATAATAATGAGATAGCCACATCATCATTATGAAATAGCTAAGTCATAATAATAAGATACTATAGCTACATCACAATTATGATTTATAGCTATCTCATCATTAGGATATATTTAATAATTATGATGTAGTGATCGTATCTCATTATGATTTAGCTCAATCATAACAATGATATAGCTAAGTCATAATAATGAGATTGCTAATTCATAATATTGGGATCAAACTTTTTTTAATCAGTGTGGCAGGAATGGGCTTCCATATAAATGAGCTTGAAGTTGTTACATTAACCTCTGTGTGCTATTTTAATGCTCCTTAATTGTTGTGGTAGTGTTGTCCCAGAGGTGGTGTACAGGTGCGTTGCTGATCCCGGGTTCGTTCCACTGCGCATGCGTTCCACTGCACGCTGATACACAAACAGGGGAGCTATTGTTGCTCGAGGACTGAGCAACAGTGGCAGGTTGTGTCAGGTTTTTTTTAATCACACTCAGCCTGTTGAATATTTTACTTTAGCTCGGGTCATAGCGGGAAAAGTTAAAGTTCTGTTGAACGCAGGTGAAAAAAGCGTCGGGGGAAGAAGGGAAGACGCTGAAGGAAAAGGAGGAAGTAAGGACGATTTGGAATCCAACAGGTCAGCCGCTTCAAGTGCTCACCGCAGCGGCTCGGACTTTTAAGATTTTAAATCCTCACCGAACCGCCGTCAAGAAACATGCCGTACGGACCGTGGAAAAAGAAAAACAAATCCACGAAGGAACATTTGGTCGAGAACGAGGAGGTGAGCGGCGGACACGCAGGTGCTGGGAGCTTGAGTAAATCCGCCGTGAATGGAGCGGGGCTCCCGCCTCCACCTGCCAACCTGCGGCCCAAGCTCGTCTTCCACACGCAGCTAGCGCATGGGAGCCCCACCGGCAGGATCGAGGGATTTACCAACGTTAAAGAGCTGTACTCCAAGATAGCAGAGGCGTTTAATATAAGCGCACCTGAGGTAAGAAATAAAGTGGTAATAAAATAACAAAAAGTCAATACAGTGATTTTGTTGCATTTAATTCTCGAAGTTAGATTTTACGCAAAGCACGTGAAGTACTCTCACAGACTTGTTCTAGAAAACGTTTAGAAACTTTGTTGTAAAGTTGGTTTTTCCTGTTTCTACACGTAGGGCTTATTTATCATACTGTTGTAAATATTTGAGATAAACAATTGCAAAAACAACCCAAATAATTATATAAACATTTGAATTTACTCGTATTTCCATGAAAAAGCTCAAATTTGTTTTAACTTTCCTCTTTTAACTATTAAATACCATATTACTGTTGTGTATGAAGTATTTATGAACCACATCGGCCTTCAAATATATAAATTAACCCTAAGAAAAACAACAAAAAAATGTTTGTACTTTAATAATCTTAAAATAATTACTATACCTGAACCTTTATTACATACGTAAGCATCATAAGTGCTCAGAAGGATTAAAATAAGTCTCACTCAGATCCTATTTGTTAGTGTTACAGTCTCAGATGGAGCAAATTAAAATGCTGTAGTTTTAAGGACTGTTGGCAGCATATAATACATCTACATTAAAAAGCTCTAAAAGGCATATTTATGTAAGTATATCAGATGTCACCCTTCAGATTTAAACTATAATAAGGTTGTTTTGTGTCAGGCTTGTGTTTGTCAAGATGTTACCCCATATTTTACTGTAAGACTGCAGTAAAATATGTGAATAAGCATTTTATTATGTGACTCTTAGCGTTGACCAACAAAGCTTTGTGTCGTATTTCTAACAACACGCCTTGTTGACTCTTCCTGGCACGCTCACCTTTACACCTTCTCCACCAAGAGCAATCTTTGTCCTTTTCTCCATGCCTGACAAATTAATGTTCATCTATATTTAGGAGCAGTTTACAACTTTCCTCAGAGGGAGCCAGTGAGAAATGCTGCATGTTGAGGTCTTGCAGACAAAAAGCCGGTTGTGTCTTTGAGACCAAACTGTTTAAGCTCTTCCTTACAAAGGAGAAGGCTTTGGCATGCTCGTCTTTTGTCAGCTTCTCCAGATGAATTTCAGAGATACGGTCTCTTCATTCAATAGTTGCAATAATTGCAAAAGAATTTGCGTGGGTTGTGTTGGCATTCACAGGTTCTCCCTTTGCAGGTCTGATAAAAGATGAACAGCTTCTTTGTTTCTGTCTGCTGTTTGAACAGATTTCCTAATGAGACTCAAATCCAGTTTGTTTGAATGGGATCTTGGCCATATTTCTAAGGGAGTTTGTTCACTCACGCTCATTAAGTTTTTCCTGTCTGTCTGAACTTGTTTTATTGTTGGAGTTACCTCACAGCTGAGATCATTATTGGAAAGCTGCAGTAAAAGGCTGTTTTTTGGACAGTGACTACCTGTGGCAAAGAGCAAGATGGAATTTACTGTACAGGGATCAGGCAACAATCTGAGCTGTTTATTTTCCCACATTGGCATGCTAAGAGAAAATAATTTCCTGTTTAGCAACATCCTTAATATTTACCCAGCGGGTAGAGTTAATGGAAAAAAAGCACAAATCTCAGCATCCCATCAGTGCCATTATGTAATTATGTCACATTCAATGCTGCAAACCTGCAGCTAATTAAATCAGTCTACTCCTTTTGTCCCATGATGGTAAATTACCCAGAATCCAAAGTTAAAATCACTCAAAGAAGCTGGAATTTGTTTTTTGCCAGCTGTGGGACACAGATCTGATAATGCTTGTTGTCAGACTCTGCAGATTCCACACCACAGGAAGTCTCTGATGTCCGGCTCATGCTGAAATCTAAAACCAGATAAGTTGTCACAGACATGGGCAGATGTGTTCCCCGAGGACCCGGTGGAGCCTCCACCCTTCGTAAACATCACCAGCCCTTGTACCACTGGCTGAACATGAATCCATTACCAGCTGGATAAAAGATAAAAGCACTCTCACGTTCAAAAAAACAACAACTTGTTTTCCCAAATGGAATTTGATTTTCAGCAGCATTTTATAAATCAAACCCCGATTGAATTACTTGAATTTACTTTTTTCATCTTATGTTTGTTTTTACATTTAATATTGTAAATTCCACATAAAACCATTTCTGGCTTTAAAGCCTAATGTAGGAGCCAGAATTAGGAAGTTTTTAAATCATTTTAGTAATTGTGTTTCACCTGGGAGGTGGGCGTGCCACTCTGTGGGTCCTGAGGTATTATCTGCACCTGGCACAGGTGTGAATAGAAACACGACAGTAGGAAGGATGACGGCGGGGTGAGCATGGGCGACACATTTTGTTGACCGCTTATTTTATCCTATGAATATGTATTCTGATCCGTAAGTGCAATAACTGGTAATTGTACTGATGGAGGGAATAAATAAGACAAGATCGCAGTGATAATTGTAGCACGTCATTCATCTTCTACCCATTGCTGAGCCTGCTGCGGCACTTAAGAAATAGGTCAGGTTGCCACAATACCTTTGGATGGTAGCCTGGGAAGTCATCCTATATATTTGAATATAGCGGCCCCAACCTATTGACGGCTCTCAGTCGTGGGGCGGGATCTATTGTTGTCTTTCAAACTATCTTCGCATGCTATTGGCTAACAAACAACATGACGGACTCACCGCTAAGGATGTCGGTTAATTGGGAAGTCCGCCACACTCTGTCAAAAAAAGATGCAAATGCATCCCTTTTCTATATAAACTTAAGTACCACTTTCTGCTCTTGACTCAAAGGCAAACCCAAGTCAAAATTGTCCAAAGTTGATGCCAGAGCAGCTTCGCACGAGCCGTCGCCATCTTTGTTTTTTTTTTCAGTAACATCCCGCCCACAAACAGAGTGCTGTAATTGGCCCAAAAAACCAATAGAGTGCTGTGAATGGACCACTATGGATGTCATTCAATGGGGCAGTGCCGCAATTACGTTGAGCATCATGGAAGAAGCAGGAAAGAAGGCAAAAATACATAGTTTTTCGAAATAGACACACTGTGATCGGCCAGCCACAATACTGGCTGAAGCTGTGGTGGTTCCAGTGGAGCGTTGCTAGACCAACTGATGTGTAACATACTAGATGCATTTTTCTTGTGACCTTGGTGGCGTGTCCCTTTCTACATAGGGCTGAACGATTAATTGCATATGCAATTAAATTGTGATGTGACAAAAGGAGATTTTCTAATGGCAAAGGCTTCGATTTGACTGGCAGCGAGTGGTTAGCACAATGCTAATATACATTGAAAACCCATAGGGATGCTAATGCTAATATCGCTGATTATATTCTTACAAATTCTAAATTAGGAATGTGCCAAATGATTAGATTTGGAGTCTAATAAAAAGTAAAAACTGCCATCAATCAAATAAGTACAGACAGATGTTTTAGTAAAGCTAGAAAACTGTAAGAGACTTTAAAGGGACTTTACGGAGTTTTGAATTTTTATGCTCGCGATTGCCCCCTCAGGCCAACAGCGTAACGGCAGCTTCAATAGTAGGCTCGTGCACGAGGCGCGCATGCTGTACGTGCACACTCCTTAACGAAAATAACAGCTGAGACAGTCCCGTGTGTGTGTGTGTGTGTGTGTGTGTGTGGCCTGGAGGACAGAGGACAGGAGAACGCGCAGCTAATTAATTAAATAATGTGGTTCTGTATCTTTCTCTTCAGCACAGCCGACAAAGGTTTAAGATGGGTCAGTCTCCCTGCATGCTCAGATCATGCCCTTCCCTTGCTTGAAAAATTGTTCCAAAATGAAAGTTGAACCCACATCTTTTTTATCTGTGAATTCAATGCCGTTCGGCGAGTCTCAAATAAAAATGTGGGCATCTTACTGTAAAAAAAATATACCATTATTGTAAAAAATAAACTCTAAATAAACTAGTTTCACATCCGGAATCGATCCCGGGTCTTCTGCACGAGAGTCCGCTGTCTTAAGAGGTGAGCTATAGCACCAGTGATGTCTTTTGTATCCGTAATTTTTATATCCTGATGACAGCTGAAACAACGTTCAAAGAACGGTTCAGAGCGAAAATGGCTATTTTGTTGCTAATTTGCAGGAAATATCTAGAAGAAAGTAGCTAAGGGTCCTCAGAAATGTAGCTAGGCGTTAAGAACAGCGACAAAGTCGCTGAGTTGGCACTACCTCACTCTCTGCTGCTAAAGCTACGGATAGCAAATGCTACGGGCGATGCCTGAGCGTGAACGCGCATGAAGCAGCCTGCTCGACCCGATCAGCTCTCTTTATCTGTGATTTTACCGAAAAACAGGCAATCACAGTAAAAATGCCAGGGCTCATTCTACAGGACCAGGGCATTGCAGGAGAATGTATGAAGAAGACATTTATTATTTCTATACATGTTTTGGCTGTCAAACTTCCATAATGCCCCTTTAACTCCACTGAGTTTTGGCTAGCAGCTGTAGATGTAGCTACGAAAGCTCTGCAAGACATCAAAAAACTCTAAACACAAAAGTCCTCACTAAACGGGACACACTTCTTTCCTAGAAATAAATTTTCACATTTGATGCCAATACCTATGCTCCTTCAAGGGATGTGCTCCTGGCTGCAAAGCATTGCACCTTCAAATACAAAATGTGTTCTTTACTTGTGAGTGTTTATGTGTAGACAAATAAACTTGTTGATATGATATGTAGATAAACCTGTAGATACATAAACTTGTTTATATCAGTACAAGTTACATAGATTTTTTTTGTGCTTCCGTTAGTTGAAAAATTTGAGAACAGCCCCTTGAGAAAATAAATGTGAATTCAATTGCAATTGCAATATTGAAAAAAAAAATGCAATTAGATTATTTTCCAAAATCGTTCAGCCCTATTTCTATGCCCATAATTTTGCCATGAAACTACACCTCTGGGACACAGCCGCTATGCTCCACTGCGCACCCTAGTGAAAACAAACCTGTTTACTGTAATGACGGCTCTTAGCTGTGTATTGTACTCCGCCAACTTAATGCACCACTTATTTATCCGGTGGAAAGCCGGGGTTA